CAACTCGTGGTTTGTTAATTACTTGCCTCCAAAAAGTTATTTGTAAACTTTGTATTAGATTTCATTTGTCATTGTAACAATTTGATTTTTTTTAAAACCGTTTTTCAATAGCACAAAGTAATGGAAAATGTTTGCAGCTAGTTGTTGCCCTTACATGGCCTTGTGTAGATTTGAAACTTATTTACTTGTGAATTTGTTGTTTTTACTTTTTTCCCAACCTTTTCCTTGTCCTTCATAAAAATCTTTTCCTACTTTACTCTCCACTAGTAATCTTGACATGATAAATGATAGACTGGAGGACAGGAGGTTGTTTTAGTGCTGTAGTGCACTCCTTTGTGGCTTTGTCAATGGTTCTTTGGGTGATCTTATGTGTCTCATTCACTCTTGAATTAATTATTCGTCTCACTAGTTTATATGCAAATTCCCTTTATGTATGGGTCTACCTAATCTATAGTTTTTTTAATCATGCAGACTTCATAGTTGATAGTGCAGCTGATATACCTGATGAAGATGAAAGTAGAAGGATGCATCGCCGCCCATTGTTACCACGAGAGGATGAACAGGAGGATGTTGAAGCACTTGAAAGAAGAATTCAAGCTAGATATGCAAGGTCAAATCACATGGAATATGACGAGGAGACAACAGAAGTTGAGCAGCAAGCTCTCTTACCTTCTGTAAGGGATCCAAAATTGTGGATGGTTAAATGTGCGGTATGATCATACTCTACAAGAATTTCATATTTTTTTTCTTAGTTTTGATTTATCCTTTTGAAGTACTTGTCTTAGAGAATGGTCAGATTAATGTCTATGCAATTTGTTGTTCATTAGATTGGTCGTGAACGAGAGGCTGCTGTTTGTCTAATGCAAAAATGCCTTGATAGAGGGCCAGAAATGCAAATAAGATCTGCAATTGCTCTTGATCATTTGAAGAACTATATATATATTGAAGCTGACAAAGAAGCCCATGTTAGGGAGGTATTATTATGCTCTTGTATGATGTTCTTTTGAATAACGATTGTATCCAACTATGTAGGTAGTTGATCAACTCTTTAAATCTGTTTTGGTTATTGGTACATCCTTTTTCTTAGACTTACAATAACGATTGAATTCAATTCTGTACCTAGTCAATTAACTCTTTTAATTTGTTTTTGCTATTGTGTTAGGCTTGTAAAGGTCTACGCAACATCTATTCACAAAAAGTAATGCTTGTTCCAATTAAAGAAATGACTGATGTTCTCTCTGTTGAAAGCAAAGCAATTGATCTTTCCAGAGATACTTGGGTCAGGATGAAGATTGGGACATATAAGGGGGATCTTGCCAAGGTATTTGTGATAGTTCGAAAGTCTCTCTCTCTCTCTCTCTCTCTCTGATGTATTAAACTATTTTTTCTTTCTTCAGGTGGTGGATGTTGATAATGTGCGGCAGAGGGTTACCGTGAAACTGATTCCACGGATAGACCTACAGGCTCTTGCAAATAAATTGGTAATGTTTTGAAGGACATATATATCTTTTTTAATTATCTTTGGTATTTCATCATTGTGGTATTGAACTTATGATTATCAGATGTTTTAATTTCTTAACTGGAAACTTTTTTAAGCTTTTGTTTTCACATTTTCATCTGTCTGAGTAATCCTTATTAATATGTAAATTTGTAAATATGTTTTGTAGGTAGCACTTTCTTCACGTTTTCATGTTTTTTCCCCCTGCAAATGTCTGTTTATATATTAATGTATATGTGTGTAATATTAATTCATGATTCTTGGATCATTGGCATCTTTCTATGATTTAGAATGAATGCTGTTTCTAATACTGTATTCTTCTCTTTCAGGAAGGTAGAGAAGTTGGTAAGAAGAAGGCCTTTGTTCCTCCACCACGTTTTATGAATATTGATGAAGCTAGGTAGTCCAAATTGTTTCTCTGAATGCAACATGGCCTCCATATATTTGATGTAAATTGTTCTTTAAAGTCCATAGTAACTTACTCTGCTTCATATTCAGAGAGTTGCATATCCGTGTAGAGCGTAGACGCGATCCCATTACTGGAGAATACTTTGAAAATATAGGTGGCATGTTTTTCAAAGATGGTTTCTTGTATAAAACAGTGTCCATGAAGTCAATAAGTGCCCAAAACATAAAGCCGACTTTTGATGAACTTGAAAAATTTCGGAAGCCTGGAGAGAATGGGGATGGGGATATTGCTAGTTTGTCTACCTTGTTTGCAAACCGAAAGAAAGGGCACTTTATGAAGGGTGATGCTGTCATTGTTGTTAAGGGGGATCTCAAGAATTTGAAAGGATGGGTTGAGAAAGTAGAGGAAGAGAATGTCCACATCAGACCAGAAATGAAGGGCCTTCCCGTAAGAATTACTTGACTCAATGCTTCTTTCTTGTTTGACCGGCTGTACTTTTTTTATCATTTAATTCAAAGGGTTAAGCTTATATCTCGTGTGATTTCTTTTTTTAAACAGAAAACTCTTGCTGTGAATGAAAGAGAACTTTGCAAGTACTTTGAACCAGGGAATCACGTAAAGGTTGTATCGGGCTCTCAGGAGGGGGCTACTGGTATGGTCGTAAAGGTGGAGCAGCATGTGCTTATTATACTATCTGATACAACCAAGGAACATGTGAGTTGGGCTTTCTTAGAAGTATTACAGAATCATAGCTCTTGCTCATTGTTGAATGTTATTTTACTGATGGTGTGCTGAAATGTCCTAAATCTCTATCATATTCAGATCCGGGTATTTGCTGATGATGTTGTTGAGAGCTCTGAGGTAACAACTGGTGTGACGAGAATTGGGGATTATGAACTCCATGATCTTGTGTTATTAGAGTAAGTAGTTGTTGACATCGTTCTTTTTTTCTTAAATTTTAAATAAGAGTTGGATTTATGGATTGTCAATAACTTTTGCAGTAATATGAGCTTTGGGGTAATTATACGTGTAGAAAGTGAGGCTTTTCAGGTGAGTATGCTTTGGATCATGCATGCCCTTTTTGGAATTTTATAGTCAGTAAGCTTATGAGTATGGTTCTGCTCTAGGTTCTTAAGGGTATTCCTGACAGACCTGAGGTTGATATTGTAAAGTTGAGGGAAATAAAGAGTAAGATTGACAAGAAAATCAGTGTTCAAGATCGTTTCAATAACACAGTTTCCTCCAAAGATGTAGTGAGGATTCTTGAAGGTCCTTGTAAGGTTAGGTCTCTGTTTCAGTTATCTATTTCCTTCTAGATGTACGTGTCCTAATGAAGACTGTAGCTTTGTTCCAACTGCAGGGAAAACAAGGTCCAGTGGAGCACATATACAGAGGAGTCCTGTTCATTTATGATCGCCATCACTTGGAACATGCAGGCTTTATATGTGCTAAATCACAGTCTTGTGTTGTGGTGGGGGGATCCCGAACTAATGGAAATAGAAACGTAAGCTCTTGTTTTTATCAAATACATGATCGTTACTAGCTCTTTTTTTTTTTACAACTGGGAGTTGGAGCTTCGCTCCTCCATACCCAGGGGCACCCGTGCCTGCCCAAGGCCCGCGTTACTAGCTCATTATTTTGTCAACACTTATATCTTAATAGATTATTTTGCTGCTTTTTACATGTTGCAGGGTAATTCCTACTCTAGGTTTGCTGGCCTTGGGGCTCCACCTCGTCTTCCTCAGTCACCTAAGAGATTTCCCAGAGGAGGTCCCCCCAATGATTGTATGTTGTGGATCTCTCATTCTTGTTTGTTATCTATGTATTATGATTGTTTTGTGATTTTCATCTGATAAATGATTATTCTCTGATTTTTCATTGAGTTTTTTTATTTGTGGTTCAGCTGGGGGAAGACATAGAGGTGGAAGAGGGCATCACGATGGATTGGTTGGTTCAACCGTGAAAGTACGGCAGGGTCCTTATAAAGGTTACCGTGGGCGTGTGGTTGAATTAAAAGGCCAAATGGTTAGAGTGGAGCTTGAGTCTCAAATGAAAGTTGTTACAGGCATGTTTTAAAAGATTTTGGAAAATACTCCGAGTCTATGTGTGATATACATGGCCGTTGTTGTATAGTTTTTTACTGAAGGATATCTGGAGATGGCTGTCTCAAATGAAATTTAAATGTTGCATTAACTCTATAATTCTTGTTTTATTTGCAGTCGACCGCAATTTTATCTCAGATAATGTAGCTGTTTCAACCCCCTATCGGTAAATATAATTTTATGATAAATCTGATTTTGTTTGTTTCTTGTGATTTCAAGGTTCTAATGTCTGTTTTGCAACAGAGATGCATCTAGATATGGTATGGGAAGTGAAACTCCCATGCATCCTTCTCGAACTCCCCTACATCCATACATGACCCCAATGAGAGATAGTGGAGGTTAGTTCTCTTTCCATGTGGCCTTCTTGTTTTTATTCTTGTCATGCTTTTTAAGATTCGTTTATTTTTTACTTTCTGTTTTATAGCAACACCATTTCTTGATGGCATGAGAACACCTATGCGAGATCGAGCATGGAATCCATATGCACCTATGAGCCCATCAAGGTAAATTTCATATTGACTAGTGAACTTGACAAATTAACTAACTTAACATGGATAACAATGTAATATACACATGCTGTACAGCCGCAATAAATTGACTGTTCCTATAAATATATTTACGGATAAGCTTGAAAATTTTGATAGTATAGCTGATGCAGATTCATAACTTGTGATTCTTTTTCTGGTCAGTCTTGCATTGGAAACTATTTCTTGGATGTAATCCATAATTCTCCTCTTGGCTATCTTCTTTGAAAAAACACTTTATGACTGTTACTGTCGTATTTTGCATTTATGTGTATTTTGATAGTAATTTTAGGGGATGTAGCTCTCTTCAGTGCGAGAGACTTGAAAAAATCCCTTAGGCCAAAAGTACGCAGAAGGCAACACCGAATTGATGTAAAGCACGACTATTTTAAAATGAAAATAAAACATTGGGTACATTATAAATGAGATTGTTTCTTCTCAAAAAGAAAAAAAGAAACTCAGTGAAGTCGTAGGATTAAGATGTAATGAATATTACTACAGTTCAACATTTTCCCTCTGTAATTCTCATCAGTCATCAGTGAATTTTGGGTTAGGGAAGCTAGACTAAAGAGAAAGACAAGATATGGTATATCATGTTTTAGAAGACAGGCAATCATATTGGTAGTACATATTCACCACCATTTGCCTTCTGACAGTGACAAGTTAATAATATGGTGTGGGTGGTGGTGGTGCGTTAGTGAAGTCCTGTACCTGGACCACCCTAGAGGCAATTGTGATGGTGCTTGTGTTGCACATTGCTCTGCTCTAGGCATTCATCTGATGTGGAAAACACCTTTGGCTGTGGGATGAATCTGTCTCATATATCAATAAATACAGCTTCTTGCTTTGTTATACCGTATTTTCTGTTTGCTTTAGGCACCAGCTTATCCTTTTAAGTTCTCTTTTGAAGTTTTTTGTTCTTTTGAATTTGATGATTGATGCCGAGAATTCTGATTTTGCTACGACAGGGATAATAGTTGGGAGGAAGGGAACCCTGCAACTTGGGGAGCGAGTCCACAACCACAATACCAGGTTAGATCTTTAATGATTTACGAAATGCCAATAACTATTCAGGTTTATTAACCAGTAGAGTCTGTAATATGTGTTCTCTTCAGCCAGGAAGCCCTCCTTCACGAACTTATGAAGCTCCAACTCCCGGTTCTGGTTGGGCCAACACTCCTGGTGGCAGTTACAGTGATGCTGGAACCCCCCGGGACAGTGGTTCAGCCTATGGTTGGTGTATTTGTATTTTATTCTAAATTTTCCTTACAATTGACGTATTTTATCTTAAAAATACTTCTCTTCGTGTTCAGCAAATGCTCCGAGCCCATACTTGCCTTCAACTCCCGGTGGACAGCCCATGACACCAAATTCAGCATCCTATCTTCCTGGCACCCCTGGTGGGCAGCCAATGACACCGGGCACAGGTGGTTTGGACATGATGTCTCCTGTTATAGGTTTGTTTTACTCTTTTCAGCTTGGCCTGTGTTTCTTATATACCAGCATGATTGAATTTTCCTCAGCTTTATTTTAAATAATACCTTCACAAAAACGTTCATAGAGCTAGCAGTAGTTTGTCATTTATATTTGCCCTTAATTTTTATCTCTGTATTATCTAGAAGAAAGTGTATTTATAAATGATCAATGAATAACATCTGAATTTGATTGTATCTCGCCATAGTGTGTGTAGACCATATAGTGTGCCACCATAAATTAATGCAAGCAAAATTTTAGGGGAGCCTAGGTGGGCCTGGATTGATACATTTTCCTTTTCTTTTGATAAAACTGTATTAGGGCGCATCTCTAAACTACCTCAAGGAAAATTTGAATCTTCTAGAGAGATTTGAAATTTTATTTCATAGTTACAGTATGTCAGACTTGAGGAAGTTCAATCTCTTGCAATGGGATCAGGACTGTGGAAACGGGAATTTCTTTCCCATTTTCCTTTGACATCTCCAATAAATGTCTTTCTTTGTCTAATAATGATTAAAAAAAATAAATTAAAATGGCAGGTGGTGATACCGAAGGACCATGGTTCATGCCAGACATATTGGTCAACGTCCGGAGGTCAGGAGATGATTCCATGGCGGTGGGAGTAATCCGTGAGGTGCTTCCGGTATGTTTTTACATAAGCTTTGCTATCTACATTTTTTCTTAAAATTTTATTTTATTACATAATTGTTTCTGAGGGACAGAAGTGGCTGGCTTTCTCTGGGTGAGGGGGTCCAAGTACCAATGTTTATATAATTGCTGTGAAATAACCTAATATGGAATTTTAGGTTACAGTAAGCTTCATTCTCATATGTGAGGGCCAACGATTCTGTATCTGCCGAAGTCCCAAATTTTCGTGTCCATTTTAGTACAGAAGTCTTAGATAGGAAAGAGGGGAAATAAGACATCAACATAAGATAAAAATTGAACTACAATTAAAAAGAAATCGGTTAGGGAACTCCGCAAGGTAATTTTACAAGTTTGATTAAGAACGGAGAGTCCTACTTTCATGCCTCGCTACTAGTGAGAAACTTCCTGGTGTGTTTGAGTAGATTTCACATTGAGAGGTTTGAAGTTTAGTGTCAATGAGACCCTTCACATACAAGCTTGAAGCAGGGTCTGAGAAGAGAACCACCACGATTCATATTATGCATAGCATAGCTAAGCTAGGCATATGCGTAATTCGATTGGCTATGTTACAATAATAATATGGTTGATTTGGGTTTGGATTGCTCAGGATGGCGCATGTAGGGTGGGTCTTGGGTCAAGTGGAAATGGTGAAATGATAACAGCCCCTCCTGGCGACATCGAGGTCATTACTCCTAGGAAGTCAGACAAGATCAAGATAATGGGCGGTGCACTGCGTGGTTCCACCGGAAAGTTGATCGGTGTAGATGGCACCGATGGCATTGTGAAGGTAGACGACACTCTGGATGTTAAGATTTTGGATTTAGTTATTCTTGCAAAGTTAGCCCAGCCATAATTTTATCGGCAATAAATGAGAATCATATTGTATACTACTAGTGTAACCTTTTTTCTACAATTATAAAGGAATTCCTTTTCATGTGTAATACCCTCTCTTTCAGTTCCATTTTTACACCTGCTGCTCCTAACGTAGGTTCATTATTCACACGCTGCAAAAGCTTTTACATTTATGTCGTTACAAAATGGTAGTTGCATCAAGGTCTCTATCTTATATTATTTTAATTTTTGTGGACAATTCTCCCTTATTATATTTAGGTTATATTTTCAAATTTGTACTTGTGTGTTTTGCCTACATGAGCTATGCTCGTTCACTGATACCTATTCCTTCTCTTGAGGTCAGAGGTTCAAACTCTCGTACTTTTAATAGTTTGTACTAAAAAAAATTAGACTTACTCGCCTATCTCATTAGTATTAAAATTGAAAAGTGTTTATGGATTGAATAGACATCTTGACTAGAACTTGTGTGTCAAGTTTTCTTTAAATACACCGAATACATTCTATATTTTAGAATTTCAGTTTCATTTCTACCCGAACGTTACCTTACTATAATGCATTATTAGATGTCCATTTTTCTTTTTTTAGTTTGAGTGAGATATAAAATGTATTGTGATAATATACTCAGTTAAATCTGATTTTGATTCTTGGATTTTATAACTTATTCAGTTTTGATGTTTGAATTTTTAAAATATTTATTTTAGTTATTCAAGTTTTAAAAAGGATAATCATTTTAGTAATGGTTTTCTAGTCTCAATACATCACTTAATATTCTGTCATTAGGTTATCTATGTAGCTTCAATTTTGCCTATACACTCAAAATCATGACATGTAAAATAACAAAAACAACTAAAACGTTACTTTCTTTGTTTTTTTTATATCTATATGAATGTTCGGGCCAACTAGTACGCATCTCGAGTAATTTTATGGGGCAACCGACTGATCCGGTGCTTAGAAACACATAGGAATTAAGTTTTAAGGTATGTGACTATAATGGAGTTTGAACTTATTCTCTTTTAATTTTAAGTTTGATTACTATAGTTTTGAATTTGATTCTTATAACTTAGGTTCGGTTTCAACGTGGGGTGGGATACGAATACACGACATATTTGTCCGCGATACATGCTTTAACTAGTTAGAGCTAAGTTTAGATTGACGTTTTAATTTGACATCTATAATTTGGTCAAAATTTATGAATTCTCCAAAATGACCTAATATAATGTGTTCCATTTACGAGTCCGTTTTATATTTTTAGTTTATTGTTGGTAGGAAGCTATATTAGGATGTAAAACCAAGTAAATGATTTAGAAAAAATGGATGAGTTTCGAGTGAGTAAAAAATATTTAAGAGACAATGTGTGAAGTTTTAGTAAATTATATGGATGAAATTGAAAAATCATAAAGAACCAAATTAATACTGGACACAAACTACGAGGGTCAAATTTAAATGGATAAAAGTATAGGAATGAAATTTTTTAATTTGATTATTAATTTTTTAAGATTCTCGATTTAAGATAAAGGGATTCTAACATTTTTCTTTGAATACAACATGGGGTGGAGTTTGAACTCATGACTGTTTGGTTAGAGATAAATGCCTTAACCATTGAGCTATGTTCGATTTGACACTTATTCCTCTCTTAGGTAAAAAAATATATAAACATAAAATAAAAAATTCAAAAGAACATGAAAACAAAAATAAGTGTGACAACAATCATTCCATGTCAGTTTATAAAAAATAATACTTAGAATATGATAACAGTACAATAATTCACATAAATTTATAAAACATAATGTTCAGAATTCACATCAATTTTTATATTTTACCTCTTCATCGGCTAAAATTAGTTTTTGTATTCGCAAATCTTGAATTTGGCAATACTTCAATGTTTCCCTACGAAGAACAAAAACTTGAGATTTTCATATTCAGTTTGGGGGAAAGAAGATATGAGTTTTTAATCTCCACTCTTTCCTTTTATAAATGATTTGTAAAGGAATAACAGTCATACCTCATCAATGGACGCATTACTTCCATAAATTATGTGTAAAGGAAAGCCATACATCTTCAACGTACTGCTTCTCTAAACCGACACCTTATTCAAATAAATGAAGGGTAAATTTGGTATATCTCAAAAAAGTGAATGCAAAATGGAGAGGTAAAGATTATCCTCGATAGCCTTATTTAAACATAGTATAGATATATAATTGGAGATAAAATGGATGTGGACTAAAAAATGGACTTCATAGTTTAAGTTGCCTCTAATTACCAAACAGTCCAAACTGCCTAAAAATTGGAAATGTCCATTATCCAGTATTGGCACTTGAGACCGATCTTATTTATTACTAAATAAATAGCATTAAATGATATTATACATCTTTTTTTTATACAACATATGGGGTGGAGGTTTAAACTCATGACCTCTTGCTCAAAGATTGGTGTCTTAACCACTTTGAGTTTGACAAAAATAATATATTTAAATGAAATAATAATGTGGTACCAAAATTGTATGGTCCTCAACCTGGCTTGTAAATCCTATTGGGTATTCAGTCTTCGATATAATACATTGAAAAATGAAAATTTTTGTTAAATATATGAAATAAAATGTGTCTTATTTATACATGCTCAAACATCCAGGATTGAGTTTTATAAAAGTAAAAAAAAATGACAAAAACAAAAACATACAAAATCGAGAATAAACAATGAGAAAGACAAGATTTACACACAATTTTGAAAATCTTATCATAATATTAAATTAATAAGAAATTGAAACATCAAGTTGGCCATGGATAAACAAACAAAGAAAAAGTAAAGAAGAAGAAATATTTGAATTCCAAGTTGCAGTTGTAGCAAACCAAGACTAATAAAAACCCTTTTTCTTCGCTTCATATATTATTATT